TTAGTATCACAGAAGGCATACAGATCCTAATGGCTAATATGTTTGATTTTATTAAAGATCTTAATCCTTCTAAAGAGCAATGGAGGATAAAGGTTAGAGTGATTAGACTTTGGAAGCAGAAGAATTTTTGGCAATCAAAACTAGATGATAATATTGAAATGCTTCTTTTGGACAAACATGTAAGTATTGAAATGTCTTCTGTAAATTTTTGTTGCATTCTTACCAACTTTGTGATTCTTTATGCATTCATAATTACAAGTATTTTTGGATTATTGAAATTTAATCTTAAAATTGTAGGTGATGGTGGGGAAATCACAACAATTGATCTCCTTTTTGGCATTTGGTCTAAGGAAAATATAAAGATCCCACATGCTTGGAATCTTATCTATTTTTATTATTTCTTTTATTCATTTTTTTATTTATAGAACATTCCAGTCTTATTAATTTTGTATATTTACAGATGAAGATGATGAATGTGTCAAAGGAATCAACATTGTATTGAGTAATGATATGTCTGAAGGTATCATTCTTTGTTTTAGAATTCCTCTGTCTCTAATTTCACATACTATACTTCCTTTGTATTTATGGTTTTATCTTTAGATTGTAACTCAAGAAATTATTCTGTATGCTACTTCAATCAAAGACTCAATCTTTACGTTTGACAGTTCAAGCTTCTCATTCTATTGATGACAAGAACAGGGCGTATAACCCACTTGGTTTGTCTTCTTTGCCTTTTTTTTCTCTCTCCATTTTCATGTACTTGGGTTTATCATGCTTTCTTGGTACTGTAGTTCAAAATGGGTCTCTGATTTTTGAATTGATTTGAGATTTCAGATGCTAATGAGCATCAACTATTTGAGTTAATGTCACAAAGAATTATCTTTACTTAAGAAATGAAAGTGCAAACTAGAGAGATGTCTAAATGTTGGCATTTAGTTTTGTAGCACCTTGGATGTTACATTTTAGAGAAGTTGAAATTTGTTGCATTGTAATTCTCTAATTCTTAAGGAACAATTGGTGTTTTTAATGTAATGTATTTCCCAATTCCCATTGTTGAGACTTCAGACTTGCCTAGAGGATCAGAGTTCTCAAATCAAAGCTGAGGAGTTAGTGATTTATTTTAAGAAATTGTGTTTTCAAAACGATTATTCTTAAGAATAAGCTACGAGTTTTAACAAATTTTTTTATAGTTGTTGTTTATTTTTTCAAATCTCTTACATCTTTATCATCCTTTCTCACTTGAAATTAGATATGTTAATTCAAATGGTTTAGGTTTGTTTTCATTGAAAAGACTGAAGATGTGTAATTCTCTGTGCAGAAATGTTAGCACCAACTACCCTGAAATTTGAAGAAGCTAGACAAATCAAATAAGAGGAAATGATTTGTGCCTATAATCTATGGGATGATCCTACTCAACCCAATGAAATTCATGTCAAGTTAATGGTAGTGCCAAAGTGGTTGATGCTCTCAAAGACCTAAAATATAGGGTATTTGTGTATTTTTATTTTTATTTTTTTGAGATTAGTTTCAGTTGAGCTTTCTTATAATGTATGCTAATTTTATTTCATAGAAATGAGCATATAGAGTATTGACCTGTATTGGATTTGTAGGCTAGAGTAGCATGACATAGTTTTGATCTATAATTTTCAAGGCATAGCATCATTTGCTAGGATAATTGAGATTTTAGAAAGGTTTAGTGTTCTTGGGTTTAGCTAAATGATACCCACATGAATAGTTATATTTGCGTACCACCTTTGTTTTAATTTATTAGAATCTAAATATACCTCTAAATGCATATTAGTTGTACCATTCTAATATTCAATTCATAACAAAGTTAGAGACAAAGGGATTCTTCAGTATAATTCAATTCATTAGTCTTGATTAAGTTTATATGGGAAATTAGGAGCTTTGCCTATTGAATCTAGTTAGTTTATAACAAAATGTTCAAATGCATCTCCGACATCTCTTTAATTTTAGGTTTTTTCTGGAATGGTTGGTGGTAAAAGGCTCTGTCTAGCTTTTAGCTTTTTTAGTGTTGCAAAATTACTTCATGCAAAATGGTTAATTGGTTTTAGCTTTGATGCTTCTAGCTTTCCATTTTTTGCAGCAATTATTTTATTTTCTTCATCAATTTGTTACATGGCTGGTAAAGAAATGGTGAAGCTGTCGTGAAGCTATCACGGTATGAAAGTGCCATATTATGTAGCATCATTAGTTTAACATGAAGAAATCCCCAAAGATTAACCCTTGAGATATACATAAGCTTTCGCTTTAGCTTTCTGCTTATACAATTATTATCTCATGCACAAGACAAATTAGTTAATTATACTTGTTCTTGAATGATTTTCACACTACCCTAACAGTTGATATACAAGATGGACTCTTTTTAAAAATCTTAATTGTAAAATTTGGTATGTAATAAGGTTCTTTCTCCATTTTTTATAACAATTGCTTTGAAAGAATGCAAATTTGTGTAGACATGTAAGAAGTTAATAAGTCAAACTGTTTGGTAAAGAGCTCTCAGTTATAATTATTGTTGATATAAAGCTATGGATGATGTATGCTGAAGTTGCTGAAAAGTTTGTATGTTGCTACAATCAAATAATACTTGCTAGTGATATTGCTCATTGATTCCCTTGTGCTTGTGGTTTTGGTTAGTAACTCTATTTTCTAACCAGAAAACATTCTAATTATTTAGAATTTTCCTTATCTTCTAATCAATAGTTTGTAATTGAATTTTCCTGGATGCACATAGACCTAGGGCTATGGGATTTACCATTTTACCTTGCCTCTGTTTGTTTTCTTCTCCTTTGTGGGTATCATGGAGACAACAAAATGAAAAATGTAAAATGCAATACATAATTACATATGTTAAATGTGGCTAGAATTGGGAATTTGTTTACAAGTATAGATGCAAAATCATCCAGCAATATAAAGTATATGTATGTAGGATTCTAGGATTCATTATTGACTTTACTGCTTTTTACATTGATTTTTTAGTGACTATGAATTGATAAGAGCATTTCTATATTGGTGAAGGAAGTTTGAACATGGTCTAAAAGATACTTAACAAGAATAGCACTTTGCATAGAAAGACAAATTGGATAATGACAAGAAATTCTTCTTTAAATTTTGAATTAGGATAAAGAGATATCTTAAAGAAAGTTTATTTACTATTAATTCTATTCTACCTACTTTACTGTACTTTTATTTGAGCTTTGCTACAGGCCTCATAACTTTTGTTGTTAGTTTATTGTTGGGCTTCTTGGCCTCATTATGGGTGAACTTCATTACAATATACTTTTGAGGTATTGATTTAGTTTCCATTGGTTTTTTTGTAAATGCATTCTTGCAAAACACATTTGATAATGTGCTATATAACATGAGACAATTCTCATTTCTTCAAGTTGAATTTTGATTGCAGAAACCTCCTATGACAGATTCCTTACATTGAGATTGTATCGTCAATGTTATTCATGAATCATATATGGCAGCGGATACTATGGTTATAATAAGACACAACATTGCGAGTATTTTGTTGTTTTTTATTGTATTCCCAAGCAGTTAAATATGCATATATTGCTATCATAAGGATTAACATAATTGGGATTAAATTCCTTAAAGCTCACTATTATATTTTTCTTTTAAGTAATTATATGTCTTTTTACTACTAATTTCCTTTTAATATTAAAATTTTATTTTATTTCAAGGGCCTGGGCATTGCCCGGGGTATTAACTAGTTTTAATTAAAACTAAAGTCACATAAATGATTGCCCTTAAAAGTATAATAAAAATCAATAAAATTTATATTTTCTAATTTGCTTAACAAATATTAAAATTAAAAATTAAATTTTTTTATCTTTAAAATTTTAATGAATCAATAATTAATTTTAACAACCAAAACTCAACAGTAACCACCCTAATGTGGATCCCTTTTTTTCTATGATAGAAATTTATGATGAGGAGAGGTCATATCATATACTCACAAATCAATATTAATGTTAACTATTAGCTACAATACAATGATATTCATAAATTGTGACTTGTGAGGCTTGCATATTAAAACAGATAATTAAAATGGTTAAATTTTACTAGTGATCCAATTACAAAAATTCGGAAATTTATAAGCTATTATGAGAATAGTATATGTTAATTTTAATTTTTAAAAAATTAAAGTTTTGATTTTAAAAATATCTTTT